TTCGAAGATTTTAATTCAAAAGCTATATTTATATTTATCAGATAATTATATTAACTAATAGTATAAAAATTTGATAACGATAATATATAAAAATTGTTGACTTGGATAAAAGACTTAGAACGTTGTAGGGAATCCCAATTCCAAGCCAATCGTAAAATTAGGGCAAGTGCGTAATGCACAGAACGTAGTTTTCTTGGTGGGCGTAGACGATGACCACCCCGAATATGACTGGTTCAGATGGAGATCAAACACATTGCAGAAGGAACTCAAATAAAACTCAAAGTGTCATCTAATGAGCTGTCCCTACATGCACCACCATCATATTTATTAAAATATATGTATTATTTATTTAACACGTATTTTATAAGATAATAACATCTTACAAACAAAATAAGCAAGGTTCAAATATATATATATCATAGAGAATCTCATTCATTGGAGAATATTCCTCTTACCAAGCTACATTGAATGGACTCATCTCCACCACAATTCTTTGCCTTCTCTTTCCTATGATTTATGAAAGAATTCGTCAATTCTATGAGGTATCTCACGCGAAAACTTGTGGGCACCCCACGACTAATATGGTAAAAAGGTTAACTTGACATATGTCATTGCAAGGGAGTTTTATACTATTAACACTCGTTGTTTGATTAACAAATATTACATTAAAAACATTTTTATTATAAGTTTTTATTTTTGATAAAATTATCAATAAATGCAACAATTTCATAACATCCTAAAGCATTCGGTTTGTTGAAAAATTAATTAAAATTTTGAATTTATCTCTAATATTGATGAGTGTTTGGAAAGGTTAATTTCACTATTTTTATTAAAAATATAGATAAAAATTGACTTAAAAAGATGATAAATCATTGATAATTCTCACAATATTTATGTTAAATTTGTAGTCATTTTTAGGAGTTGAAAAATTATTTCATCTTTTTACAAATAAGTTAATTTCATATAGGATAAAAAGATGTAGTTGAAAAAGACTAATATATTATTATCAAACATATTATGCATGAATGTAATATATGTGTAAATTTTTTAACTAAATTAACAACTTTTTCATATCGTGATTTGAAAGATTTAGTCTTATATATTATTTCTTGACGCTGATTTAGATAAGTCTTATATTCAAAGTTGTAATTTTTTTCTTTTGTTTATTTTCTTACTTTCCTCTAAAAAAATACTTATAATCAGTTCTGAAAGTTAATATTAATAAAATTAATTATTTTATTATTTTTGATAATCAATTGATTTTGAGTAATTAAAAAATAAATTTTCATTAAAATTTATATTTTATATAATAAATGATTTTTATACAATTTTTAATCATTTAAAGTTAACTCAAATAAAAGTAAACTTCAATAAAACTCTCGCTGTATCAATAAAAGGATCTAGTAAATTTGATTTGTTGATACTTTGCTAATATTTTGTGAAATTTCTTAGAATTTAGTGGATAATGAGGATATGGTAGATTTTATTTATTTATTATTAGAATCTAATAGATTTGACTTGCTTAAGATGGATTTATGACTAAACAATGAATCAAATGATTTGGAGTGACTATCTCATCTCTACATGACTCAAAGAAAAAATAGTTTATAAGGGGTTGAGAAGGGTTATGGAAAAGGGAAAAAGCTCATCAAGTTCTAGTGGTGGAAACAAATTTAGTAGTAGTTTAAATAAGTCATAATTTTAAAACTCCTTAAAAAAATAAAATAACTAGCATGTATGCTGAGTGAATGAAATTAGTTATACAGATAAATTTACTAGTGGAACTATATAAAATTACCATAATTATTATTACATGTTGCAGATGTAAGATTAGTTGATACGTGTTTGGTGCACAATAAATTTTACCTAAAATACAAAATTTATAATAATTTAGCAAAAAATAGTCTTAATAAGAAGTTAGTTTATTAAAAATATTATTTTAATAAATAGTTTTTAATTAACATTATTTTAATGAATAAGCCTGTATTTAAACATGAGTTGGCCTTTGCTCTGGCATGCAAAGTCCTTCCATAAAAAAGTTTATTTTGTAAAAAGTTTGATAATATATTATTATTTAGTGAAAAAAAATTTCTACATTCTTTTTACTCTTTTCATTAATAAAATATAAAAATATTATTAAAATAATAGAGCGGTTAAAGTCTTTCTCAAATTTATTATTGCATTTCAAACAATTAAATAAATTTCTTTTTTTAATATTGATAAATTTGAATTGTTTCAAATTTCTAAATAATTATTTATTATTAAAGATAAAAATACTTCAACCACTCCACTGCAGTTCAATGAATTAAATATAATAATTGATAAGAGTATAAATTGAGTCTTTCACTAATATATATATCGTTTATTATTTAATTAGTATATTAAAATAATTTTTGGATTGATTTTTAATACTACTAGTTAAAGAACCTTAAATTTGTAAAAAAAAAACCTATAACATGACCGATCAAACCTTAATGTTTTCTTTTTCGAACGAGCAAAGTTTTCTATTTTTGAGCCATGTTATTATATCTTTCAATTTATAGTTATTTATTTTAAAAAATTTCTTTTATACAAAGTAAGAGATCGAGATAAATTTAAAATAAATTTTTATATTGACTCAAATTAAAAATTTCATATGAAAAAATATGATTTATCTATTTTCAGAGAAATATATATTCACATCACACATAAATAATTATTTATAAAATATGCATAAAAATATATTCATTGATAAATTAAACCATAAAAATTGTTTTTTTAATATTTTTAATAGAAAAATTTAGTTATTATATGATTTTCATGACAATAAAATTATTTTTAAATATATTAAAATTGTTTTTACATATAAAATACACAAGTATTTTTTTTATATAAAATTATATCAATATGTAAACTATGAAGTGAATATTCACTAACAGACATATTTAAAATATTTTATAATTTATATTCAACTACTATTGTTGCATTTTATTATTTATTAATAATATTTAAAATTTTAATTTTTAAAATTTTAATTTATTTATAATATTTTAATTTAATTGAGTTGCTGTAATCTTTTTTACATTTGTTAATGCAGTTAAATTAATTAAATATTTTTTTTATTTTTTTAATGCTGATAAATTTGAATTATTTTTTATATTTATTATTGTAATTCAATTATTTAAATACTTTTTTCATTTTTTCAATGCTAATAAATTTGAAAATTTTCATATTTATTACTGTAATTTAATTCATTAAATAAAATTTCCCTTTTCCAGTGCTAATAAATTTGAATTGTTTAGAGCCAAATTTTATTTATCAAAAACTTCAACGAATAAAAAGTATAGTCTTATATAATACATGCAAAGTTTATATATCCATGCTTAGACTCACACTTATTACAAGCTCTTATCATTTTTCAACTATGAAAGAAAAGCTGCAAGAATAAGTATATCTGAAAAAAAATTAGAAGAAGAAGGTTATCTGCCAACAAAAACTATCTTCTTCATCATTTACATGCAAGATATCTATTATTTATTGATACTATTTTAATTTTATTTTTAAAATTTTACTTTAAACATAATATTTTTTTGTGTGATGCGCAGGTAATATATTCTGTAACATAATTTTTTAATACATTCTTAATTATTGATTATTGAGAATTACAAAAATATAAGAAAAAAATATTAAATTAAGAATTATATTTATTTGAAAGAGTTAAAAAAATATACAAAGAACAACTCTCAAAATTAACTTCATAGTTTTAACGTATCCGTTTTCTTCCCCTTGACTTTCGTAATTAAAAATAAAATTATCATTTATATGTTAAATTAATCTTTTGACAAACATGATGTCTCTTCATTTTATTTTTGATTTATATTTGAAGAATTATGAATTTTTACTTATTTCAAAACTATTAATTAAAATTTTTTATATTAAATTTATGGCTACATTTTTTAAATGTTTTTCTATACACTATATCAAAATTATAACAAGTGATAATTTCTATTATAAAAATAAGGATTCTTATTTTCATACTTAATAAATAGATATAAAGTGGACAAAAAGAAGCGAAAAAAATTGAATGGTTAAAAAATATGAAAAGACTAATGTAAAATTAATTTTCACAATCTTTTACGTTTAAAAGGAAATTATTTATTTATATTCTATTTTAGAAAGTAAAATAGGTAGAATAATGAGAGATAATATATATATATATATATATAATTAATAAAATAACAATTGTCTTACTTAGTTCGAGTATAATTATTTATAATAAATTTAGTTGTGTTAATCATTAAATTTTTTTACTGTTTACAATAATTAAATTTAACTTAAATATGATTGTTTCTAATAAAAAAAAATATATGTAATTTATACTAAAAAAAATAAGAGAAAGAAAAATAAATAATAAATAAATGTAAAAAAAAGTAGTTTTGTAATTTTTTTAAATATGAGATTTGAAAATACTATACACTCAAATATGTAAATTTGAAAAGATTATAAAAATAGGAGATCTTAACAAATTGTCGATATTTTTATATTTTCATAATTCTCTCCGAAATCTAATATTCTGATATATAATGTTTTTAAAAAAATTCTGAGTTTCTGCTTGCTCAATATTAATATGAATTCCTTAAAAACCAAAATTATTAATTAATAATTAGTTTCCTTTTGCAACTTGGTGACTCTTCCCTCACCAATGTCTCTCTCTTGTCATCTTGTGGCACCCTACAAATTGTCCAGTCAATAAGGTTCTTTCCAAATCCCTCCTTTCTCATTCAACACATGATCATCAGTTTCACAGCCATAAATTCATGCGATCTCCACGCAACTTTGGAAAATCCTTAAACTTTGTAGATACTACTAAACACATGTTGCTGTTTTGTTGGTGAAGAAAACAAAGAAGCAAAGGCTGTCAAACTCATAGCTTAAACACACATATATAATAGTATTATTGTATTCTTGTTTAGAAGAAGCCAAAGTGATCATTTTGGGACCCCAATTGAGAATTTCAAACAATGAAGGATTCCTCCGCCGGCGCCGCCGTGGACAACGCCGCCCGCGACGGCAACAAGGCGTTGAATTCGGGTGGCTCAGGCTACCTTTTGGTGAGAAGGGTTATGCAACTCAGCATGTTCCTTGTTGGGTTTGCCGTGTTGTGGATGTTTCTCTATAACTCTGCTTCTCCCTTTGGATTCCCAACCTTTTCACATTACTTCGTGGATGACTCGTCAAAGGTGACTCTCTCTCTCTCTCTCTCTCTCTCTTTCTCTCTCTCTCTCTCTCTCTATTTTTGTGTGTCAACTTGTGTTATGTAATTGGAATTAATGAGTGGTGGACAGAGAAGAATGAAAGGAGTTGGAGTTTTGGCTTTGATGCTTATTTTCTTGCAAACCAATCAAAAGGTTCAATTTTTAAATTTTGGGTTTTGATGCTTTTTAGTTTTCCGTTTTCTGATTGGATTGAAGAAACTTTTTGTTTTGCGGGGTCAATTTGGATTCTCCATGCCAAACATGAACCGAAGAACCATGCTTTTGAATGCTTATGGTGGTATTAGGATGTTGTACTATTTGTTTTCTTGGTGGAACTCACTGTTTCATTCTCCTTGTTTGTTTTTCAACAAAAAAATTGTTATTTAATAGCACCTTTGTATGGAATTAGCTCATTAATGGTTGGGATTCCTTGGTTCTCTTTCTAAATTTGAAATTTAAACTTTAGAAGAGTCAAATTCTAAAAAATTACCTTTTTCTTTTGTCAGATTGGGGGGCAAATCATGTTTGAAGATTAAGATAATGTTAAAAGACAACTCACCATTATTCAGCTAAACTTATATTATGTGTACATTGAGAGATGCTTAGAAAGATAAGAAGGAGATCATGGGTTTGTAACTGATAAGAAAAAGGGAACGAGAAAAAAGGACAGTGGCGTGTGGGGCTTATTCTAATACTTGATGACAAAAAAATATCTACCTTATTACCGGTGCTGATTGGACATGCATCTCATTCAGTAGACCCTGTGCTTAAAATTTCTTAGTTTACAAATATTTAATAAACTAAATATGTATTTTTAAAAATTTGATTTTGATTTTTTGAACAAAAATTTTCAAGTTTGATTTTAATATTTTTCAAATTTTATTTTTAGTCCCCATGTTGACATAATTCATTAAAAAACTATCACATGTCAATTTCATGTCAAAGTAGATAAACTAAAAAGAAAAATAAAGGTAAAATTTTCCTAGTTTCTATCTGTAATTCTCTTAAGCATGTTCTTAATTGGTGGGTTTCTGTTTTAAATTTGTTTTTTTTTCCTAATTTTGGGGAATATGATATCTGTTTGGAAATGATTAGAATGTGGCTCTTGGGGTGTTTTAATCTTAAGAATATAATTAGTTAAATAATTTGTGGTGAATTGTTGACATCCTCTTTCTCTCTCTAGAAAGTGTCTCTGGAAATGCGGATATACCAATGGGAATTTTGGTTGTGACATCAGTTAGGGGATCATATGTGGCCCAATAATTAATGCATATAAACAATATTATTTCATTTTAATAAAAAAGTATATTGTTAATAATATATTCTAATTTACTCTTAGTAACACATTTTTGTTGTTGTTATTATTATTGTGAGTTTCACTTTTTTGTATTTATAAATTAATATTTTAATAATAATAATAAAAATATTTTCTTGATTTTAAAAATTGATCAAGTTTTATAATAAACTAATATTTTTATAATTACTAATATTATACATTAAATAAAAAGAAAAATTTAAAACTGAACGTATCTAAATATGACTGATCTCAAATATTGCAACGCTAATAAACGGGTTTTGTGTTCTAAAGTAACAATAAAAAAATAGTTTTTTTTTATACCCAGTGTTTTGAAAAAATTATCTATTTGAGATAATAACGTAAATATTTTTTTTTTCACTCCAAACTTCTCCGATGGATAATTTCGAATCGGAAATTTCTAATTTTATTTTCAAGTGCCGTTACTTTCTCATCTTTTATAATTGACCCATTGAAGTTAACACTTTTGGGAAGGGTTTGTGATGTGACGTTGGTAAGTGTTAATATATAAAAAAAAGAATGCATAATTATTCTTACATTTATGCATGCATACATTGACTTTAATTTTATCAAAATTTTAGTCTATTAAATACAAGTAACAATTAATAAATATTTCACAACTATTTAATATATATATAAAAAAATGAATACTTGAAGAGTTGAATTAGTCAGTATCTTTAAAATATTAGTTAAAAAAAAAGGTACTTCTTAGTTCACAAACAGGTGAATCTATTAAACTTAATATTCTTCTGCACCCAATATGAAATTTATTTATTTTCCTGGTACCCTTTTTTTTGCCTATCTTCATCTCATTAACATGAATGTGTAGAGTAGAGAGCAATATAACAAGCATTGACAATAATTATATAGGCTAATTTTTACTCTTTTTTTGTTTTTGTTTTTGTTTTTGGGTTATCTCATTAATTATTAATGAAAAACTATTGACAAACTTCAATTATTGAAAACGACATTCTGTTTCGTGAATTAATTTAGCGACGACAGACTTAAAGTCTTGATCGGTTATGTCTGAGTTCACAAGATTATTGCACCAAATTTTTTGAATTATTAACATTTATATGAGAATAACTATATTTTAGTTATTTAGTGTAAATTATTTTTCTATTATTTTCTTTATTCATAGTTGATGTCATTTCAAGAAACTCTCCATATTAATATTTTTCTAGGGTCATAATGTTGCATGTGGTGACAATATTGGTGAACCATGTGCCAACATAGTTGCCGTCAGACATAACCAGCTGTTCACATGGTTCTCCAACGTAGACTTACCATTGATTATGCTAAGCTGCTTGCTTTAAGGTTCAAATAATCAATACTAATCTACATTGATCATTCTCTGTATTATTAAAGTTTTGTTGATATTATTACGATTGACTTAGATTAGAGAAGTTATCAATTAATTGACTAGATGGAAAGAAAAATTTTAAGGAGGAAGTGTTAACCACGGTCACTTTTCTAAGGAATAAATGTAAATTGATGAAATTGGCTATAGTAGCAAAACCTTAATTGCATTTTCAGGTAAAAGGACCAGCATGATCCATAGTGGGTATTAGCCATTGTTTGATTATTGATGTATCAGTGGGAAAGGAATAAAGGGATGCAATTTCCTTTATGGGATATTATTCTTTTGATGATGATCAACATCAATAATGGTACTGTGATAGTTTCACACTGTCAGTTACTATTCTATAGTTGCATAGAAGTATAGGACTAGTGAGAACTTGAAGGTTACTGGAAATGTAGTCCACTTCAATTTTGGCTACAATTTCACCCCTAAAATAGCCATAGATGTCACTAGTCTTGTGCTTTTATATGCAATAGTAGGGGACCATTATGTTCATTGATGTTTTTATAAGTTTGTCTATGTCCTCATTAACACATGGTATATTCACTTCCTATATGATGTACTATTTTTGCTTACTTTTTAACTATTGAGGATCACATAACTCTCAGAATATTTGGTTGCTTGGGAGTTTGATTGTTTTATGCTTTTGGCAAGCATATTAGAAACTAGTAACTATTTGTTATGCTTAGCTTTTACTTGTCTCATCAAACACATTATCAAACACCCCCTCCACGTGTTTGAGGAATTTCTTCTGTGAAATGTGAACTTTGATTACCAAGTGTTTAATAAAGTCTTGTCTTTAACTTTATGTATCAGGGTGATTATGATCAAAAGCTAGAGAGTGTTCTTAGAAATGCATCTACGAAGGATAAGACAGTGATACTCACAACTTTGAATGATGCATGGGCAGAACCAGGTTCAATGTTTGATCTCTTTCTTGAGAGTTTTCACATCGGGAACCAGACAGAGAAGCTCTTAAATCACTTGGTGGTAGTAACTTTGGACGAAAAGGCCCATACTCGTTGCCTTGCTATACATAAACATTGTTACCGACTTGAAACTCAAGGTGTCAATTTCACCGCTGAAGCATTTTTCATGACCCCAGATTACCTATTCATGATGTGGAGAAGAATTGAATTTCTTGGTTCTGTTCTTGAAATGGGGTACAGCTTTGTGTTCACGGTATATATTATTCATTTTGCAAGAACTACATAAAATCTTACCAATGTGCACACACACAACCATACAAGACAACCAGGATTTATAACATGACTGATTTAACTTAATTTTAAGGAAATTAACGCAATTAGTGTGTTTAAATTCTCATTAGATGACCTGTAAATATAGATTTAACGTAAAAACTACAACGAGTAGTGTTGAAGTAAACATGGATACATAGGCATTTAAGCGCAAATCAAACTTGCGTTGGATCCACGTTTAAAGTTTTTTTTTTTTTTTATCTAATTTATAAATACACAATTAAGAAACATGCATTAACTTAGATGTTAAATTAAATACCCAGATTTTTTTTTTGTTTTCCATTGCAGGATGCAGATATAATGTGGCTTAGAGATCCATTCAACCAATTTTACTTGGATGCAGATTTCCAAATAGCTTGTGATTTTTTCAATGGCTATCCAAATGACTTGAAGAACATGCCAAATGGTGGGTTTAATTATGTGAAATCTAATGACAGAACAGTTTGGTTCTACAAGTTCTGGTTCAACTCAAGGACAGCCTACCCAAGGTTGCATGACCAGGATGTGCTCAACAAGATAAAAAGGAATGCCTTAATTTCCGACATGAAGCTGAAGATCAAGTTCCTTAGCACTAGTTATTTTGGAGGGTTTTGTCAGCCTAGTAAGGATCTTAACGAGGTCACAACAATGCATGCCAATTGTTGTGTTGGTTTAGAGAACAAAGTCAATGATCTTAAAATTTTGCTTGAGGATTGGAAGAAGTACATGGCATTGTCTGAAACCCAGAAAAAACAATCACCTCCTTCTTGGAGAGTACCAGATAGCTGCAGGTAATTTAAACTTCTTTTGTTGACATGGGCTCTTTATTGTTGTTTCATTTATTCAATAAATCCTGTTACACAATAATTAGTAATAGTTAGTGTTATTTAGTTAATTTTACACTCTGTTTTCTGTTAGTAGCTGAATTGTATAGTGGTTAGTCAGTTTTTCTGTTAATTACTTTTCTCGACTATATTCTTTGTATCTTTCTGTAACCTTGTTTTCGTTCAATAAAAAATACAGTTCTTTAATCTCTCTTAAATTTTCTCTTGATGAGTTCTTCTTCTTTTAATAAATCCATTGATTTTATAGAGAGAGAATAGTTTTAATATATATTTTAATTATTAAAAGTTTTCTTTCTGCATTCACTTTTATATTAACCATGAATTTGATTTTACCTGTTAGTGGAAATTCCCATACAGAACTTTAATGGAGTTAATTAGTATCATAATTAACAAAAATATTGTATGCTTATTTTTTTATTTATTAACTTCTCATTCTATGCTTTGAAAAATGTATTTTTTAAATAATTATTAATACGTACTTGCAAGTCAATGAAAATTAAGCTTTGATTAGAGTCTTCACATAATTTGACAAAGGGAAAGGAGTTGTTGGATTAGATAAATATTATCTATATAAAATCACATATATAGATAAATGTAATTCAATTGGTGGATTTTTATTTTTTAAGAAATATATAATAATGATTTTTCTACCTCAAACATCATTTAATGGAGGCTCCATCTTGTGTTACTGTCATTAATGGACGTCGTTTTCTGTCTCACATTGTTGACTTCATGCAGGACGTCCTTTCAACGTGCCAAACAAAGGAAGAAGAACAGAGGGAGGAGGTTGTGACCATTGTTTCATGTTTGCATAAAGAGGTACCTAAAATTGTCTGCTAATATATCATTCTTTGGAAATTTTCACTTTTTTTAGACAAATAAAACGTTTTCTGTTGTAATTTTTTATTTTTGCTGATAATTGTTAAAATATCATCCCTTTATTTTAATTTTATTTATTGTTTTTTAACATCTTATACAAAAAATTATTAAAAAACAATTTCTTATACAAATCTTTTGTGACAAAAATATTTATTGATTTGACGCTTTGAAAATAAATAAAAAAAAGGTATTTAGCTTCTCAAACTATACAGTCTCTTAAATTTTATGGTCTTGTTGATTTGTTTGATGAAAGTAGCATTGGCGTCTTCTAGAACTCCACCATGGCCCCATAAAAAAATAAAACAAAAGTATTGTCTAATCTAAATTGTCTTTGTTTTTACTTTAGAAAGATGTAATGGTTTCATATGTTAATTTTACCTTTCTTTTCCTCTTAAAGTTTTATCTGTTCTAAGTACAAACGTATAGGAATCTACGCGAATCATGTGTGACAAAAGTTTTGGAAATTATTGATGTTATTTTAAAAAATCGCTATGTGACATAAAAATTGACATACGAGAACTTCTGAGTTAACCATGACATCATTTAGTAATTAATTATTAAAACTAAAATCAACAATTTTGAAAATATAGGAACTAAAATGCAAAATTTGTAGAGGTCAAAATCAAAATACAATGTATGTTGAGGGTCAAAAACATAGTTAACACTTTTATTGACTTTGAATACTATTTAACCATGTTCATTGGGTAAATCTTCCCACTTTTCTCCTCTATTAAACAAGTGAATAATTATTTAATTACACGTTCTACAATTTTTTTTCCCCTTAAACTTGGCTCAAGGACACTTATGTTAAATTTCAATTGGTTTTGAAGGTTGGAGAATGACTCAGTCTAGTTTCGGATCACAGCAAAAGATTTACTTTGACAAACTAATTCTTGTGTTGGTAAAGAAATGTGTAGAAGTGGTACACAAATTGAAAATGAATGCCAAGGGGAAAAACTTCTTCAAGTTCTCTGAATTTTGTTTTGGTCCATTTTGTTTTCTGTTTCTTAATCCCAAAATATGAACAATCTTGGCTCAATGTTCATACCAATTTGCAACCCAAAAAAAAGGGGCATACTAGTTGACATTGGTGTAAGCCTTGCGGTCCAAGTGCCAAATAGAGAAAAATATTATTGGTTGACAAAAAAGGAGAGAAAAAATTATTCTTATCTTTAGTCTTAAAAATAAGATAATTTTTATCATGTTATTTATATAACCTTCATTATTATTTAGTGTTGTTTATCACCTTTTTCATTTTTTAAATTCTTTTTCTCTCTCATTGTATTAGTATTTCTTAAATTTTAGCTTCTTTTATTTCTTAAATAATTACACTCAAATTTAAATTTTTCTTTAAGTCTATTTGGTAACTTGTAGCTTATTACTAATAAAAGCTAATTGAAAGCTTACTTATAGTTGAATTTTTATAAATAGATTATTGAATTGAAGTTATTTGATAAAACCAGTTGTATAATTAACTGAAATGTGTTAAATAAAAAAGATTGTTGAAATTATTGTGTGAGTTAAATATTAGCTTCCAATAAGTTGCATGTTACTTGATTAACTTTTCACAAGTTTTAAAAGTTATAAGCTTCCTCTCCAAAGTTATATACTCCCTTTCTCTCTTGTTAGCTCATTTGCTTTTTTAAAATTGAATTAATAAAAATAATTGGATCCAAAATTATACAGTCAATTGAATCCTTCAAAGTTATATATTTTTAAATATTTTTAAATTTTTTAATTTTAAAATAAAATATTTATTATTTATCTAAAATGAACATATTTTATCTTTTAATTGATTTGAGGGGAGAATTTAAAAAAGGAAAAAAAAAAAGTATGGGCGACCTTAAAAAAAACTTGCCCCAATTTGGAGAAGGGAGGATGGGAACATGTATTATTTTATTTTTGTTTTAATTTATTTATTGTTAGTAATTTTTTATATAATATAAGAAGTACATAATATTAAAAAAATGTTACAATAATTTTTTTTTAAAATTAAAGATTTATTATTACATAAAAAGTATTTTATATAATTTATTTATTTATTTTACTTTTTTACCTATTTAAAAAAGTGAAATAATTTTTTATTTTTTTATCTGTATAAATAATTCACATGTGCTTTATTTTTATTTTTTTTTATCTCTCATCTAAATAGAGTATTAAAAAAAAAAAGCAAAAGAAGGAATATGATGACATGATAAAGATAGGGGGCCAGCATTCGTTCGTTCGTCATACATTAATTTTTAAAATAAATAGCTAAAAATATATTGTATGATTATCTGAAAATTTAATAAATTTTAAAGAAATGATTAATATAATAATGAATAATAAATATTTTATTATATTAAATAGATTTAAAAAAGAGAAAAATTTAAAAATAAATATTTAATATAAAAAATATTTATTATAATTTAAAATAGTTATTGTTTAAAAATATCATCGTTCTCATAAAATAAAGTTTGATTAACTATTTACAAGGCAACCATATGCATGATCTATTCAAAGGAAACTATTAATTACATGTCTTTTTAATTTTATAAATATTTGGCCAAATACTATGATGTGTTAGTAAAATAAATAAATTATAAAAAAATTAGTAAAATGACTTACTATAATATATTTTAAAAATATAAATATTTAAAATTTAATTTTTAATAAAATTTTCAAAATATTTTTTTAGACAGAGGATCTTAATTTTTTAAATATTTAAAATAAGTCATTCTTTAATATAAGTCTTTTTAAGATTGTTATCATTTAAAAAATAATATAATTTTTTATTCATATGAAACTATATCATATTCTCTCAAACTTACTTTTATCTTTATTTTTGAAACAAGTTCAAGAATTTGTTTTATGTTTTTAATGTAAAGTTCAACAATAAATTAAGTAGTTGCAGTTAAAATTTACTTGATATAAGTCTAAAAAGATATATTCAAGGCATAAGATTTTATAAAATCAGATAATCATTTCTTGAAATATCGTTGTATAAGTTTTGTTCAATTTTTTCATATTTTCTCTTATGCAAACTCATTTTCTTAAACCCTAAACCTATATAACCATTCTCCCTTTGGATTGTTATACTTTCAAATGTGATCTTTATAAATTTGAAAATATCATATACTCATCTCAATTATCTTTAAAATTAACATTTTAATTTGATTAGAATAAGGGTAAAGTTCAACAATAAATTAAGTAGTTGCAGTTAAAATTTACTTGATATAAGTCTAAAAAGATATATTCAAGGCATGAGATTTTATAAAATCAGATAATCATTTCTTGAAATATCGTTGTATAAGTTTTGTTCAATTTTTTCATATTTTCTCCTATGCAAACTCATTTTCTTAAACCCTAAACCTATATAACCATTCTCCCTTTGGATTGTTATACTTTCAAATGTGATCTTTATAAATTTGAAAATATCATATACTCATCTCAATTATCTTTAAAATTAACATTTTAGTTTGATTAGAATAAGGGTAATGACTAAAAGATTTTGTTGAACCAAAAAAAAATACAGAGAATTTATTTATTGTAATTTTTGCTGAAACATTATCCACTCAAGCTAAATTTAGATAGTGATAAACTAACAAATTTCATCAAAATTGGCTTAAGCCAACACCCATTAGCTTAACCTAAAATTTGTCACTTAAGTTATTGTTGTACTATATTGCATGGCTTAAGTAGTTTATGTATCACTTAAGCGAATTACCTTCTGTAAGATATTCTTTTATATAATTTTTGCTTATGTTAGAAAAATTGGTTTAAGGGAATGTTGCAAAAATTGTACAATGCAAAACTAATTATTGTGCAAGGAAGATATGAGAAAGATCTAAAAAAGACATTGAACAATATATCTAATACAAAATTGAGATTGTAAAAGTGGATGTAAAAAATTAAATTTTAAAATTATTAACTTTATAAATATAGTTTGTCTAGAATTTTAAAGATCTAAAATAATATTAAAATTAATTCAAAAGTTTTTTATTATAAATTTAAACTGCATACCTTCTTAAAACAAAGTTTGAAAATCAAGGATATACAAAGGTGCATATAAGAAAAGACAATATATTTTTGAAGATAAAAGACAACATATTTTGAAGATACAAAATAATAAGTTTTGATAGTTTAAAGAGAAATTTTACAAATTTTTACAAAGAATTAAATAATAAATATATATAAACTTCTGTATTAAGATAGTCACTTACTCATGAGTCACTTACTTACTACCTTATGTTAGCTTGAGCCAAGTATTTGACTTAAAAATTACTAAAAATAATATTTATATGCACTCAACATTGGTAGCAAGCGTTTTAAATATACGAATACAATTAAAATATATTATATTCTTAAAAACAAATTACATATAAATAGAAAAAAATTGCATATATATTCCTTTGAGAGTTATCAAAATTTTATTGACAATTTTTTATTTTCAAACAATACTTTAAGCTGTAAAAAATCAAAAGTCATTTGTATAATTAAAAAGTACATGTTATATTATATCATTACGAAATAAAAAATATGTTCATGTAAGGGTAAAAAATGAAAGGGAATAAGATGCGATTTTGTTAAATCCCAAACAATTTGAGTATAAATTGTATAATTTACTTTATTTTTTTAAATGACAACATTTTATGTGTAAATTTTTTTATAATATAAATCGTGCTGTTATTTATCGTTTTATAATTTTTTGTAGCTTTCTAAAATATTATCATTTAGGGGAGTTATAATCAACTCTCAAAGTGAAGTAATTTCACGATTCAACCCAAAAATTCGTGCTCAAAGAACTTTAATTGAACCAATACATGCGTATTTGTTTAATTTTGCTTAATGAACTATAATTTGCGATAACATCAAAATAAATTATAATTCCTATTATGAATTTATACGTGACCCTAGCTAATTAAATAGGTAATTTGATAATGTGATTAAGACATGGAGAACCATTTTTGCTTATTGTAAGACAGGTGTTAGAAAAAGCTTCAGCTTCATAAGGACCACAGTATTTTTCCCTTTAGGAATAATGCCTAAAATTAAACAATTGAAACCTTTTAAGTTTGTTATCATAGTCATGTACCACCTTAGAGTTTTTCATGTTAATAAATAAAAAAGATCAATCAATAATGGATTTGTGGAGTTGCAAAACACGTCATTTGGCACTTTGGGTAGGCATTAATACCACCATCGCATGCATGAGTGGCCACCAAATCACCACCTTAGGCCCTACAATCTAGGGTTTAAGTTGCCAAATTTTGCTGATTAGAGTGGCAAAGACAAAGAAACTTGATTATGTTCTTATTACTGAAGACAATTCCTTCTCGAATCCCTTTTATAATCTCTATGTGCATACACTTCTTTTATGAGTGTTAATTTAAGTCGATCTGTATGGATATGTATCAATCCATTAATTATCATTTTAAATTAGAATATTGAGATATTATTTATTAAATAGAATTTTGATAATTATATTAATTAATCATGACAATTTTGGACCAACCCTTATTAGGTTAGTTGAAATAATATTTTAATCAATTTTTTTAGAGTAAACCACTATTTTGGCCTTTAAAAGTAGAAAATTGATACAAACATTAAGTGTACTATCCTTGAGTAAATTAAACACTTTTGACAAAATTTTAAGTGACCAAGAACTTTGATAATGAGAAATTAAACACACATTTTGTGTTGATTGATGGAACAGGTCTTGTTAACATTTACTTATTTGTATCATTAAGCGTTGTTGGTCTTTAGCTTGGTTAATGTGAGTTTATCTAAGATGTCATATGATCATGATCATTTGCATGATATTAAATCAGAAATTGTTCTCTCTTAATGAGGTTGATCTTTGCCTTAACTTGCATCATTCACCGTTAACAAATCTATTTATGTATCACGTTAAGTGCTCCAAAAGCAACTAAAAATGACAGTTTTTTTTAGCAAAAATATATTTATTATAC